GACTTTCTGCCCCCATGTCTCTCTAGATATCTGTTAATGCACAAATACTGTAGGTCAAAGGTGAAGCACAGATTCAGATCAGTTTCAGCTCCAACAGAGTGGGTGTGAAGAACAAAGCCAGGCTGAGGCTGAAGGCAGGGGCAGATTGGTCTTAGCAAAACAAGCTTTTTTTTTTTTCTTCTTTTAAAGCAAATACCTCAGGAAAACATGCTTCTACCTAGCAAGCTTGGAAATGCAACTTTTCATTTTCAAGCAGATAGCAGCTTTATCTAAATAGTCGTGATTTGTCAAAATTATTTTGGGTTTCAAAGAAACGACGATACGTTTTCAATGTAGCCATGCTATAAGCTTTGTGATGCTATACTCAGGCACAGCAGTGCTTCGAAATGCTAACACTGGCATACGAACGTGATCGCAGGCCCAGCAGGGCAATGTTGAGCAGGCTTACTGTGTTTGTGAAATCCATTCAACACGTTAGCATGCTAACATTAGTGGATTTTAGAACCTTAATATTTGATGAATTAACATTTATAACTGGCTGTTGGTGCAAAAGGGAAACTCGGTATGCTTCCTCTGGGCACTATGAACATCAGTACAATGGGTTTGAAGATAATGAGAGCAAAGTTACGATGCAAATGGTACCATTCTCAGAACCAGGGTGCTAGTGTGGCTAAGGTTTGGGAAAAAGCTGTAGAGATTGGTTTTAACTTGTCAACCTCAAAACTGCTCCATTCATTATGAGTTAAGCTTAAGTAGCCTAATTAGATCTCGGGATTGTACTCCACTTGTGGTTTTTTCAAGTAATGTGACCTAATCAGAGCTTGCCAGCAAGCTCTACTGTCTTTACTGTCTCTACTATCTTGATTAACACAGGAGCTCATAACAACAGCTACCACGGGGAATGACAGCAGCAAAATACATAATCTACCAGTTCAGAATTTCGTTTCACATGTAAAGGCCATCTTTCAGAGCACCATTTTGCCATTCACATGAATACAAGTTTCATATTTGAAACGGTCCACATTATAATTTTCACATTATTTTTTATAAAATATAGAGCGTACAGTAACCACAGTGTCACAGGTTCAATCCTTATCTAATTAGTCTATTCTCAGCAAATCAACCTTTTGATTCTGCTAATCTTAAAAAAGGTTGCAACTCATTGCATTGATCTGACCAAAGAGGAGTTTGGGGAAAAGAAAAAAATCATATTCAGGTAGATGGAGTTGACACATTGGTTACTGAATTCCTGAAGGAACACCTGACCTTTAATGGCTATAATAACACTTTTAAATTCAACCAGTTCAACTACGTCAGGCATGTATCGCTAACTTAAATTCATTTTCTAAAGGTATAATACTGGCACTGGGACCCTCTACTTTTCTCCTAATGTAAGATATGTGGAGTGTGTTTACATGCACACAGTTTTCTGAATAACCCCGATGCTCATATCCATGTGACGGTCTTGTTACACAAACACTTCAGTGGCTACACTATCCTGTTATGCTAGCAGGCTTCACTAGCTAGTGAGGTGCTACTAGCTAATGAGAATTGATAAATACTGATACAAATATCAATATAAAACAGAACTGGCAAAGACTCTGGCATCCTTGATAGTTCTAGTTTGTGATTTTGGGAAGTTAAATTAACATATTGACAGCTAACAGCTACTACTGTCAGTCGACACTTATAGCCTAACAAGCTAACCGACAGCCAAATGACATTAGCCAAAACAGAACCACAGAGAAATGTCACTAATGTAGAACTAGTGACATTTGACTAGTCAGTATGTAATGTTCAAACGAAAGAAACTATTAAACTATTACAATAACACTTACAGAAACAGAAACCCCTTCATAAAGGTAACTTTTAGCTGGTAAAGTTTAAGATTTTATGGGTTTTTTTATGTTCAAAAAAATAAACTATAATATTTGAGTGTCCAGTGTTTCACTATACTCCGTTTATATAATGTTAGTCAATTTATGATCTGGAAATTTAAGTCAGCCAGTAAAGAAAAACAAAAACTGGGGGATCAATTTAAATTTTTTCAGTAGTAGTTTCCACTTTTTATACTTGCTAGTTTTGGAAGAGAATTCGTGTGATAGCTCTGGGGAAAAAAAACTGAAGTTAAATTCAAAGTTGGTTTTTTAGGGAGTCTTGGTGCATGCTCAATCATCCAGGTAAGTAAATCCCAAAAGGCTGATTCTGTTCACCTGTTTTTAGGGACAAAAAAAAAAGGCCATAGTAGTCTTCTATACTAATAAAATAATAATAATTAAAATGAAAATTACATTTCATACGAGTCTTTAGTTAGGTATATAATTGCTTGGAAAAGTTTTACTGCGCAATATAGGAACATTATTATTGATGGGGGATATTAGTGGCAGTAATAATAGTAAACTCCAATCTAAAAGTTAGTAATAATTGGACCTGCTATAACAATATATCCAGTATATTGTTATAGGATTTTAAATGAGCAAATTCTCTCATCTTAGTGCTGTTTTCCACTTTGGATTTGACCTCAATTGCTAATTCAGTGAATCATTTCCTATCTGTAGTCATTCTCTGCTTCCATGACATGTTTGGATAGATTTTTTTAATATTTTATGTATATGGTAGTAGCTAAGAGTGCGAGCTAAAAGGATATTCTAAAACGAGAAAGTAAGCCTTCCTACACGTGAGAATATAGTGCACGGCTGACCTGAAAGCAGGTTTGTGTGCATGTAAACCCACAGAGTATATAGTAAACACCAACAGATATACACAATTAGAAGTTCTACAAGCACAAATTAGACTATTCACACCCTGTTTGCCATTGATGCTGAGAGAAAAGAGATGAAACAGACTGAGGACTACTGAACCATTCCCGCCACAGTAAGGCGTCACCGCCTCACTCTTAGATTCCAGATCCATCTAATTGCTTAAGCCACTTTAACACTTTTAAATAAATGTATAGAATATATACAAACATTACGTAGTTCAGACCTGAAACGCACACTTCTTCTTTACTAATACCACCGTTTGCAGAGAGTTAGGTCAGGAAAAAAGAAAGCAAAAAGCTGGGCTTTGACAGTTTTGAAACACGGAGGCTATCTTGCTCCATAGTTTTTATTACTTCGCTAATGGGCGGTAAGGTGGCCATCAGAGTTTTGTCGAGTCTTACTACCGAGGTTCCACTTCTTGAAAGGTGTCGTGTCTCTAAAAATAAGGTCACCGCTTCTCCTGGTAGTTTCAGATGAAAACGAGCATCGCCACGGGCAGAGAACACGCTCGTCCTCTTCTCTTAAGGTGTTCGACAATCGCGTAGTTCAAAGGTCGTATAACAGCAATCCTTTTGTCCCTTTTGCTCTGCTTCATTCCCTCTGTCGCTCTATAAAGCACTTTGTGACGAGCCTGGTTATTAAAAGCGCCTTTTGTTTTTAATAAATCGCAATTATTCACAGAACCTGGGTAAGATGCTGCTAAAGAGAGGAGAAAACACATCGTCTACAAACTGAGTTGCTGAATATGGTTTCCGGGTTGAATGCCAAGCCAGTTGCCAGGAAGACACATAAGGAGGATTCTGGATATGACAGAAGGTGCATTCTGGGATTTGTTGTTGACTGACGGAGCACTAAGCCGCTGGCAGATGTCACATGAGAGGCTGAGTCTTTCCCTTCTCCACGGTCCTCTCTTCTACTTGCTGGGATTTCTTCCCTCCTCTGCTACCTGTCCGTTGCAGTGAATGGTTGATTGGAATAAATTACAGCCCCCCTGCGGTAGGATGACGGGGGGGGGCTCCTCCTCCTTCAGTCACAGACAGGAGGCGGGAAGTAGCAGCAGTCTAGGAGGGTTGGGGGGTCTTCAAGGCATCCACTTTGGTCTCCAAGTCTGTAATCTGTGGAAAACATAGCGGATGATAACTTTAA